CATTTTTCTCCTAAGATTGCATTCTCACCAGAACCAAAATATATATATATATATATATATATATATATAGGGGCCGGTTCCCGTGAGAATGCACCTTGTGGAGAGAAATGAGAATAAAATCTAGCCGTCAGATCTGATGCATCGTGCGGCTCAGATTGCATCCTGCGCTCAGATTTTGAGATAGTGCATTTTCGAAGGTTTATGATGCATTTCAACGTGATGCATTTTCGCACCATTTTGGTGCATCTAATTTTGATGAAATCTTGACCCTTAGATCTCACAATCTAAAGCACCAGATTCATTCTCATTTTTCTCCTAAGATTGCATTCTCACCAGAACCAAAATCTATATATATATATATGTGTGTGTGTGTGTGTGCGCGCGCGCGCAGTGTGTGTGGTTAGTAGGTATATAAAAAATTTTTCTTATATATGACATCAGGAGTGATACGTTTTTAAAGAGAATGATTTGGTACTTTTTTTTCCCATGTAGTGTGTGGTAGGTATATAAATAGGTGATGATGATAGATGGAAGAACGCAAATTAGATAAATTGTGGGTGTGAGTATAATAAGTATGAAGAACTACACCGAAGTTATTTCCTTGTTCTTTCTTCTTCTTCTCTCTTCCTCCTCCTTCGTATCCGCCAACCCTGAAGGTCTAGCTCTGTTTCCTTTTTCCTCATTTTTAATTAATTGATTGATTACTATTATCCTCCTTCACTCAGTACTTGTTCAGTTTTAACTTTTTGCGATCGAAATATCGATCAACACGCACTCGATCTTATCATTCCGAAAATTCAACTTAGTTTAATTATTCCTTATTACTCCGTAATATATATATGTGACGGGCATCCATGCATGCATGCAGTTGATTCTTTGAAAGCACTGAGTGACAACTTGGTCGATCCAAACAATGTTTTAGAGAGCTGGGATTCATCCCTGGTCAATCCCTGTACCTGGTTTCATGTCACCTGCAACACCAACAATAACGTTATACGAATGTGAGATGTTTGTGATTTAATTTAGTACTCCCTCCGTTCATTAAAAGTATTCCTATTTTGACTTTGGACAAAAATATAGAAAGTGAAATTTTGGTTGACTTTCCAATTTTGCTCCTGATGTGATGGGTAAAAGTAAGATGTGATAGTTTGGTTATTAATGAAAAAATATGATGTGATAGGTAGAGTATGAAAAAGTAGGGGTGAAAGTGGTTTTTTAATAGAAAGTGGAAGTGTTTTAAGGAATTAAAAAAAATCGAAAGAAGAAAGATTTTATGGAACGGATGGAGTACTGTATAATCTAATAGTATAATTACACTCCCATCTCAGCCTTTTTTTTGCCACTTAATTGGTTTGTTTTTAGAGTCTCGAATCATATCACACCCTCATATATGTTTTCTGTGTATGTATTTACTTCTTTTTCTAGTGATCTCGGAAATTCAGGTTTATCTGGTCAACTCGTCTCCGACCTTGGCAACCTTAAGCATTTACAGTACTTGTAAGTTTTTTTGCCAAATGTAATTATTAGAGCATGAGCAATGGTGAGGCAGAAATGGAATGCCACACGCTGACATGGAACATTTCAACCAATGAAAAATAGTCCAGTCAGCGTGTGGCAATTGAGTGGAGTGGCATGCCTTGCAGTGGCAAGTCACTATTTTTATTACTTTTTTCATTTTCTTGCTATTTTTGAATTATTAAAAAATATTTACCTATTTAATTATTTTAACATAAAAATATTTCTATTTACTGAAAAAATGACATTATTGAAATGTATTTTAATGAATAAAAATTATTTTTCTTATATGCTCCATATTTTTATTTATACTTCCGTCTCAAATTAGATTACATTTTAGAATTATGATGCATAACTCCTTGTTTTTTAAAATCATTTTATTTATAACTGGTAAAAGAATAAAAATAAAACTTAGAAATTAAAAAACAACATCAAAAAATAGTTCCACTACATCTAAAAAAATTCTTTCTAAAAATAACAATTCTACTGTAAAAAAAAATTGTATTACACCACATAAAACAAACAAACAAAAAGCCAATGAATTGATTGGCCAGAGTGTACTGTAGACAAAAAAAGGTGCCTCGCACCTCACTTGACAATCATGGAGGAACGGTAAGCACACGCGAGGCAAAAAAGGATTTTTATCCGAGCTGTCATCTCATTTACACGCCGTTGCCTTTGCTCTTATAATGTTTAATTTGAAGGATCGTAATTAACATTTATACATTTCTAATGCATATTATAAAATATGGTTTAATTCATTTTCAGGATTCTTAGCAATAACAAACTCACTGGTCCCATTCCTACCAAATTGGGTGGAATTCCTACTTTGAACCAAGCGTAAGCACCCCCGCTCGCCTTTCTAATTAATTTCTTTTTTTTTCATTTGGCCAATTCGAATGGATGTTTAAGCATGACCAAAAAAAATGGTACTCCCTCCAGCTCTGTTCTACTCCATACAAAACAGTTTATCTTTCATCAAAATACTTCCACTTTCTATTAAAAAATCACTTTTACTCATATTTTTTCTTACCTTACCTATCACATCATACTTTTTCTCTAATAATTTATCTATCACATCTTATTTTTACACATTACATCAAGAACAAAACTAGAAGTGAACTATAATTTAACACTGCCTTATTTCAACACTTGTTCAAAATTGTAATTGTTCTCAAGAACGGAGGGAGTAGTAAATTTGAGTATGACGGAGATCGGGCCACGAGATAATTGCATGAGCCTGATCGGCCAATACCCGATGGATATTTCATAGATTTTTTAAAGTTGAAGGACTAACTATGCATGACGCAATAACTGAAAGGACCAACGGTGGAATTTATATAGTTTTAGACTCATTTTTTGTTTATTTATATAGTTTTATGGATCATTTGGTATAATAATATAGTTATTTCAACTATTGTTTTATACTCGTAGAATTTTAAATGCTTTTTAAATATATCACAAATTTTCAAATATGTATCGTATGAATATTTCTTTTAGGTAGGAGAGCATATATTATTTATAAAAATCTGTCTTTAATTAACAATAAGCTAAGCACCCTAATTTCGTCCTATTAGTAATACTCCGTATATATTTATTTCCATGTCTCAGAATTTTGTCAAACAACTGTCTCGAGGTGGCAGGAAATCCCTTGAATTCTGATCCCAAGTAACTCTATCCCGATTTTTTCCACCCTTTCATTAACATTTTTAGTTAACTCATTTTGCAGCAGGCATATTTTTTATTTATAGAAACATATTACTCTTTCCGTGCTCGATCTTGTTCCAAAACAAATATTATTTTTTTTTCATTTAAAAAAGTTTAATTTTCTTTGTAAATAATATACTCCGGTCAAAAAGTTTTATTTTTTTTACAAATATGATCATTGTTATTTCTTTCTTTCAACGCAATTTCTCTGTTCTCATTTTTAAACATTTTTTGAAGTCTGTGTCCGGTCAAAATTATAAACTTTTAATTTAGATTTGGGGG